ATGTCTCCTGGTTGACTTTTTTACTGAATTATGGCCCAGATCAGAAAGGTTGTTTAAGTTTTGCACACTAATGTTGAATGAAATGATGGGAATTTTATCGAAGAAAAAAAAAATTATCAGTTCCTATTTATCGAGGAAAACCACAAACCACAAAATGGTAGTTTGTGAGTTTCAAAAGACGGCGTTGTGCAATGTAAAATATTGGTATATACAAATGTCGTAACCATAGTAATCCTGTGCTCACACAGCAAACCTATAAAGATGCGAGAGGCGAATCGCAGTCATACTCGTTTCCAAGTCGAGGAAGATGATGTAGACTCTCCCGGAGCGTGCTTTACTGGTGAAATCGTTTTACCAAAACAGAGACTTTGCTACCAAAACCTTGCGGGAAAATTCGGTCTTTGAAGCGGTTACAAAAAAGTATACTCACAAATCAAGGACTAACAAACATGATTAGGAAATTTGAAGCAACAGGAACATTGGGGATTCAGCCAGGAAGGAGATCAAAGTTTGTTGCAACACAGGTAATGAATGATGTAGCGACGCAAGTCGAGGAAGACAGACCTCAAACCATCGGTAGCACTAGTGTTCGGCATATTGCAGCATTTGTTGACCGACCTCGTTCCACAGTTCATGAAATTCTTCATAAGGTTTTACGCTACTATACATATAAACGCTCGCTAGTGCAACAGCTCTTACCAGCTGATCTGGATAGTCGACAAAATTTTGCGTTGCGGTTTCTTGCGCGAGTTGAGCTCCAGGATGAATGGCTATAGAATATTTTGTGGACCGAAGAGGCCCACTTTATATGGAAGGTGCGGTTAACACGCATGTTTGCCGTATTTGGGCTACTACAAACCCACATCAATTTCTACAAATTCCATTACACTCTTCGCATGTAATGCTTTGGTGTGGCTTTACTGCAACGTTCATTGTCGGTCGGTTTTTTTTCCGAAGAGCACAGCGCCGTAGGGCATGTGACATGCACCGCTATTGATCAATTATGCGCTTCATTATTAGAGCAACCCGTTATTTCGGCTCTTCAGGCAAGGCGATGTGATACTACCACACTATTTATGCAGGGTGGTGCTCCTCCACATATCGCCCGTTGTGTGAAACAAGTGCCCCTACGCCATTTCGGTGACGACAGAATCATCAGCCGGCAATTTCCTACAGCTTGGCCTCCTAGATCCCCCGACATGAATCCTTCCCTCTTTTGGTTGTGGAGTTACTTCAAGGCTAGGGCCTTCTGTGATACTATTACATCTCTATCCGACCTTAAAGAAAGCATAGAATGTCATGTGCGTAACATTTTCCAGTTCACGTTGCTTTCAATAGTCGAACATGCAATTGTACGCTTCCAGACGGTAGTAGATAGTTGTGGATATCATATCGAGCCTGTTTTGTAAACATTTGTAGATTATTTATATGTTTTCAATAACGCTATAACACTCCACCTAGGGGTGGTTTTCGAAACTCTTGTTCCCCCGTCGATAAAATGCCCATCATTTCATTCTGCCATTATCCAATTTTCATGCAATTCCGCTGTATAGTTTTTGCTACAGACTGCTCCCAAATTTCAAGTTTGATTATGGACACCTTGTATATCTCTAACATCTTCCCTAGAAATCCAAATTTAAAGGGGTCCAACTGGTATTTTTTGCATTCATTCTCGAAACCAAAATAAAACATAACAGTTGGAAAACTAGTTTTGTCATCAAGTTCAGGTCTGTCGGTATAGACAACAAAATCTTTGTTATGATGTTTATGTCTGTCAAACGAAAAGGAAGGTTTACAGGTATTATTGTGCAATTGTTTTCAATAGCTACTAATTCTAAAAAGTAAGTACTGCAAATATACTTAGTTAATTGGCATAACAAAGCACGCGAGGGCTATCAGTCCAGGGGAAGAAACCCCTTTGTGGAGGAACTGGCTTCCATTCGTGTTACAAATGGTGAAAAAACAAGAAAACACCTATTCAACTATCGTGTTCGCTAGCAGAATATAATGGTGGCAAAATGTGAAAGCTCTGATAGGCAGAATTTAAGAGAGGAAACACATCGTGGCAGATAAGTATGAATAAATCATTGGTATGTCAATCATCCTTTAAAATTTTACGGAAGAAAACTATGCATCAATTAACCCTGTAACATATAAGAGTTTTATGATTCAACCTCTTTTCTGTTAAACTGGAAACACGAGTTGCAACAGTAAAGGATTTTTACATTATAAAATGAATCTGTATTCGCTGATAAAGGAAGAAATTTGTAATCATTTGATTTTTTAATATTTAATTAAATAATGCTTTAGTATTTCTTCTTACCTCTACCAGGAAACGAGGATTTTAATCAGCATTTTAGTAGAAGCTGTCTGTTTGTTTGTGCCTGCTCAGGGGATAGGATAGCAATGTGTGCGGATGTGTTTTGGGGTGGTTTCTCAATTTGTCTATTAACGTTTTTATTCGGAAGTTAAGAAAGTTCGGAATTTTTATTTATTTAGTTAGTTGTTTTATAAACACTGATGAGCATTTTTTTCTCCGTTAGTTGCAGAAAAAGATAATCTTTCGTTCATGTCTTTGTTCCTACCAAGAATCTAAAATATGCTTTTACGGTTATAATCTGAAATCCTGTGATCAAGGTTCGATGCTTTTCTTCCTTCTCCTTCATTTATATTAGCTTTTACGGCCTATCATATATGATCTTAGTATGTTTTTTAACTTTTTGTGTGCGGAGTTTCTTTTTGCATAATGTCCGTACGCGCGCTGTTGGAGCTTTGTTTATATTTCCTCATGCCTTCCACTTGATAAGATACCGCAGTTCATTGAACTTTAGTACTTTATGCAAGAAAGAGAGCAGGAGAATTTATTTCTCCTTGAGATTAGGAATGCGTACGAAGATGAAGCGAATTTTTCTGTTGCTTATTCATTTATTTTTGTTATAAATTTCAGTACATAGATTTAGAAATTTTATCTCCCACACAAAAATGATTGCTTGTTCTGTAAATATTAGGCTGACGCTTTACCCCAAATCGAACATAGTTGAAAGTTTCGAAATATTTTAGAAAGTAACTTATTTGAGATATAATAAGTTTTTTTAATTTAAATTTTGAAGAGGTTCACGCCCTATAAATTCAAGCCTAAAAGCTGTCTAACTGAATCTATGTTATCAAGGTAATTTTGAATCAATAGGTCTCAAATGGTGAACAAATACCTACAATACGCACAAGATATAAATATAAATATGCATAAATAAAAACAAATGAATACCGAATAATATCACAAAGTAAATATAAAAATCAGACTTCCAAGTGTTACGAATTTGGTATTTAAAAAGCTAATGTTAGTTCAATCATAAATTAAATGGTTTTATTTCCCGCGCAGTGCAGCGCGTGACGAATATTAAAAGAAAGCTAAACCAGAAAATTGAAAATGCAAGAGCGCGTGCATTAAACATTTAATAAATATCTCTTTTTGATTTCGAGAAAGTACTAGAAAATCCTCGCGCGTGATTTTAAAATCTTATAAAAGGAGGAAAACGTCTCAGTTCGTTGTAGAGTAATCACCAGCTTAGAAGCATTTGAGGGAATTTCTCTATGTTTACGATTTCTTTTCACTTTTTCAACACACAGGTTCCCCTGTTTACAGCAACAGAGCTCGGAGTCAGTACTTGGGTGGGTGACCACCCACGTGACTGGCCTCGACGTATCATCTTTCTTCAACTAGTGAAGATACATCACAGCTTGTACGGCGGCCAGATGCTTGAACCCTCCTTCTCCAAAGTCTTACTTGACCAACTCACGTGCATTAGCACATGTTCCTGCTTCACCTTTGTCGGTGCGGTGTAAATCACCTTAATTTTTAATTCTTCCCAACGCCTTAGGGCATATCTCCAACAGAGACGGTTAAAGTAGCAGAGGCTACTAAGTGCCACCTAACCATTCACTCGATTTCGATTTCAGTTCGTTGTAGTTACTTAGTTTGTTTTTTAGAAAACTGCTCCTGTTGACTGTAGCGAATTCGCAGAATAGCTTTCTTTAGCTGTTTTGAACGTTTGAGTAGTTAGAAGATAACTACTGTGATATATTGTGATACTGCACGATTATTTGAGGACATTTAATCATATTTGTTGTGATAATAATAAATTTTTGTTCATTTTTCTTCGGACTTGTGCATTCATTTCGTAACGAACCCGTACGCACGCAACACATGATTACATTTGGATTGAGAATGGACATTGGCCTTTTTTTATTAGTATCCTTCTTATAATCGTAATTATAAATTGGGAGTTCAGAGTTACTTATAGTACGTAAACAAATATTGTGAACTCGCTAATTATACTATAGAAAGGATCCTATGAATATGTCTCATGATGGAGAACCAAGCATACTGTTTGTATTCTGTGTTTGGATTATGTTTCATGATAGAGAACCAAGCATAATGCAAGTATTCTGTTCCCTTTCATTTATTTATGTATTTATTTATGCTTTTCTGCCCTAGTTTAAAGTTAGCTTCCTAACTAGATTTTAAACTGGACTCCCAGTTCTCCCCTTTTTTCTCTTGGCTATGCCGGCGCTTTTAGCTAGCTCTTGCATACTTAAAAGAGTTTTTCAGAGCGCCACACTCCTTATCAGAGGTTCTTTTAGTTTCGTTTTTTATTCTGATAAGAAACAAATATTCAGGAATGCTCAGTTACTGGAATAAAACATGCTCTTTTCTTATTTGTTTCAGTTACTAAGCGTTTTCAGCACATCACTCAGCGTTTCCAGCACATTACTATATATTTACAGCATCACAATAGGGCTTTCATTATTAGGTGATAAGTCACATGAGATTTCCCAGTTTTTGACACATAGTTCACTAGACATTAAGATACATTCATGCTTAGGTTACTTCATGCATCTCTTTTATCTTCTTCCCTCTTTCTATTTGACTTTTCTTAGCATTTAAGCTTGATTTTAGCCCTACGGGCGTTACAGGCATGAAGACCCAGCAGATGCAAAACAAGACATCTGCCTGTCTGTCTGTTTGAGTTGGAAAGCATGGCGGAATCGCATGTGAGTAAATTTATTTACGTGGTCATTATATTTTTTTATTTGCTCTATTTTGTATGGATTTATTATTAATACCTAGCCCAAATATTTACCAATGTCTTTCTTTTAACCATTAGGCTCTGAAAGAGATACCTTTTGCTGTTCAGTCTGGAAAGCTAGGTATACGAAAACAAGTATTCCTGCAGCTTGAAGAAGTTACTAAAAAAAGTATTAAATTTTCTTCTTCATTTATAGTTTGGTTTCGAAATTCAAAATATGGAAAATAAGATTTGCTAATAACATATGATATTTTCCTAAGATTATAAATATATGATCTGTCGAAATCACGAGGTTGTTAAATAATATTTTAATTTGAAACTTTATTTCATAGATTTTTATGTATTATTTACGTCAGTAAAGTCTAAATAGTTTAAACTAAATCTGTAATAGAACGTTATGTTAAAATTGTATTCTGTTTATCATAAAAATGCTATTTTGGTTGTTTTATTTGATTAGTAGTAGAATATTTGGTGCTAGTTTTTAGTATTTTATAATTTTAAAATGTAATTGAATTCAAAGAAAACTGTTACGAAGAATTACATGTGAAATATAGGATTGTTTTATTTAAATTATAAAAAAGCCGGGTTTTTGGTATGAACTCTCATGCATTTTAAATAGTCTTGTTTAAAGGGTTTTTTACTGTTTGCATTATAATAAGGAGTCAGTGACTAAATTTTGTATAAGAATCCCATCCTTAATGCATGTAGATTTTACATATTTTAATGGAATAGCAATAGGGAATAGAAAACATTTTTCATAATGCAAATTTTTTCAAATTTCTTTTTTAACAAATCATCTACATTCTATTTCCATTTACAGTGCTTTGATTAACAGTTGCACTTTTGTAATAGGTTAGCAATTATGTGTAGGCAAAAGGTGAAATGATGAGCAAAAAAGGTCAGAATGGGAGCTGTGCATTTCAGAACGTACACAAGAAATGTTGATCTTTTATACTGTTATCAACTGGCAGTTATTGAAATTTCTTTATTTCAATTTTAAGAACTTTTTTTTTTTGTTATTAAACAGTGAACAACCATAGTACTTAATCAAAGTAAATCCTAACAATGACGGAGAAATACAAAAATTTTGAGTATACTGAGATTTTTTGAAATATTGAGTATTTTTGTAGTATTATAGAAAGCTGTTTTATAATTTTAAAAAAGAAAAGTGCCAAAGGTTTTGAACATTGTATGTACTAGTGAACTTAATAACAAAGAAATGTGGTGAAAACTGGTATTAATCAGCGTATTAAAATCAAGGAAGTATTTCAAGGGAACGTTGACATTATATTTGAAGGAAACCTTATAGTAATATGATCCATAACATTTCAAGGAAAGATGCATTAAACTGAAAAAAGTTAACATTTTAGGTGCATTAAATTGAAAGAACTAAAAATTATTTAAAATTTGGTTGAAGACATGCTGATAGGACCCAGCTCCAGCAATGTTGGCATTCACAGTGATCAATGTAAATTAAAGGTATTAATGTTTTAAAGTGAAGTGAATCTTTATTAAATTGCCATTAGTGAAAACATCTAAGCTAATGGAGATAAATGTTTTACATCTTTTCAGATAATTAAATCGACATGAAAATATTTCAGTGCTTTTTCTGAATTTGTGCAGGTCTCTGATTTTTTTTAATCATAATAACATTTACTAAATTTACATAATTCTCTAATTTTTTCTAACTTAAATTTGGAGAGTTGATAGTGCTCATATTGCCATCTGCTATTTTTTTCTTACAGCTAATGAAGTAAAAATGTTTTTATATTTTAATTACTTGCTTCCAATTTGGATTATCCTTTAATAAGGAAATGAACTGTGATCTTATTACATTATCTGCTTATTGTGCAGAAGTTGCATTTAGCTTATTACAAAATGTACTATCTGTGCCTTTAGAATCGACATCCAGATATGTGAGAGATTGAAGGGAAAGTCTCTCAATCTGTAATAATTTTAATTTTGTAGTATATGAGTAGTGGATTTATATTGAATTGTTTAATTCTTTATTTCAGATGCTCAACCCCATGCAATTAAAGGTATTTGTAAATTGTTGCAAATCACATTGCCTCGTTATGCAGATCGAAAATCTACCCAAATTGTTGACAATTATGTCAAAACATTGGTTCAGAGCCAACCATCCAGTATATCCTACATGATCAAGACGATTGCTGATGTTGCTGAAACTTACAAAAATGTACACTCAACGTAAGTATTTTGATTTATTATCTTGTCGTATTACGGTTGTCTGAAATCATATTTCCTGGAAAAAACATATTTAATTGAATTCCACAATAATAACATTAACATTATTTTATAAAACTTACAAGGTTATTTGAGTAAAGACAGTATCCTGTAGCACCTTCTTTATTTTTTATCACTGTTGCAATACTGTTAGGCATGTTATAAATAAGAGACTAGCAGGAAGTTTGAGAAATCTGTACATCTGACAGGTTTTATTGCTTCAATAAGTGCCATAGCATCAGATTGGTACTTTTCTATAATTTTATTTTCTCCACTACACGACTAATTCCCGACAGAATTCAAATCTGGGCTATCTGGTTAATCAAGCAATCAAATTTTTTTATGGCGTCAGGTAGTTGTGCAATGTTTGGTTGATCTTTACATTATGGTAACGTGGCGTTTTTTGGCGAAAATTTGGCGACCAACTCTCCTACAGCAACTCTCTATTTTTTTTTTTTTTTCCCGCCGCCATTTTCTCTTCACGAAGTAAAGACATGTTTCTTTTCTTTTTATCTACTGAACACTTCTTCCAACAATCTACTAGCCGAATTACACTTATGCTAGAAATTTTATCTAACAAAACTGCTTAATCATGACAAATATTCACTGCAAAATTGGGAAAAAGTGCACAATACCATACTCCTTACGCGTTTTTCAAAATAACACATACACATAAACCATGTACACGCTGACTTATTTTTACTTAAAAAAACATCCCAGAATTGCACAAAAATGGCATTGCGCACACTCTTCACTATATCCTATGTACACTGCTTTTTTTCTTTTTTCTCATAAATTAGAAAAATTTCACGAAAATACATGACAATTTTCTCAATCTTTAAACCCGGTAAAAAGAACATATATGAAATTACCTGATCGCGAAAAAGTATTTACCCTTTCCAAATATGAACATTTCCACATATAAAATAAATAAAATATCCAAAAACTTTTACCTCTCTAAATCATCTATTATATTATAAACGTCACCAACGAATTCATACCGCAACCATTACAAATACTTAGTGTCAGATATTTAAATTATTTCCATGCACGTTTACTTCAACTGAAACGTATACCAAATTCCTACAAACATAAAATTCACAAAATAACTATCATTTAATTAAAATATAATTAAATTCAAAAACACTACTTAAAATATAAATGAGCACATACATTAAATTAATAAAATTACCTTACAATCCTAATTACTTTTAAACTAAATCATTGCTAATAACAATTTTCCCAATAATACCAAATTCCTTTACTTCCACCTTACATTTAGAACAATGCATAAAATAATATCCTCAATAATTAAAATACTAACTTACCTCATCTCTTCAGAATCTTGATTACGTGTCCGATAAACTTTTCTTTAGTTATGGCCATGGGATCTAAAAATTCACGAACACTGTTTCACATGACACAGAATAAACCAAATACAAAATTTCCAGATTTTTTCCCGTTTTTCCCCCCTTTTCCGATTAAAGAACCATAATTCGTCCATTAATATCACATGACATATCCCATGATCTCTCATTTCCCTCACACAAAATAATGCGTAATCGGAACTGAGTACTGCTCACATTATTACCAAAGTCCCAGGTAGTAACCTTTATCGCCTCCAAAATGTCGCCAAACTACCAGTTACCATATTGTAAAGATCAACCCAATGTTTAATGTGTGCCCTATTTCACTATTGTGCACATTAAATATTATATATATTACATGATATATTATTATTACAAGTTCATTTTTTCCCATAGAACTGATATTGTTAGGATTGCTGCCATATAGTTCTATTTCGTACCAACTGTTATATTTGGCACTAAGTGACAACCTGTTAATAGAAAAGTACCTACACTAATGATTTTGAGAAATATAACATTTTTCAGGATGTTTTATTTTTGTATGAGCATATTAGGGCATAATTAAAAATTTTATATTGAACTTATATAAAATTTTACTTTTACAGAAAGGCGGTTGCACATATTTGTTATGCTGCATTAAGTTGGTCTTGCCACGTAGCTGAAGCTATTTTTGGTGGAACTGAAAGTGGTACTCAGGAGACTCAACTATTAGTAACTATTACATTCTTTTTCTTTTTGAAGTTTTTTGCATTAATTAAAAACTATTTGATGATAATTAAATGTAATTCTAGTCATTAAGTTTAATAATTAATGAAAAATAATTTAAAATTGAGTTGTATTTAAAATGTAAAATGGTCTCTATGTATGTATATAAAAGTAATCTTCAACCTTATTGATGTATCCTTGTTGTTGTCATATATCAGAATGTCACACTTCCAAGTTTTTTTATTAGTTTGTATTTTATTTGATCTAAGTGGTATATTTTGTATGTTAGGCAAAACTGAAAACAGAAATTTTTTATTTTAATATGTAATGGTAGATAAGATTTATATATTTACTAAATGAATTATTTATATATTTATCAATGTATGAATACTTATTGTATTTAACAAGTATAATTAAAAACATTTCTAATAATTTCTTTTCACTTGCATGATGCCCAACTTTTTTAGTCCTTTTGAGTTATGTGACTTCAGTCGTACCGTAATAGTTGTTTGTAATGAGCATTTGATACAATTTGAGATTCTCAACTTGAGGTCGAACCATTCCTCTCCTAAGATTGTGAATACCTATCAGGTTTAATTATATTAAAAATAAGTTGTTAAACATTCTTCATCATATTCCACCAATTTTAAGACAATTTTCCAGTGTAAGAATCTTTAAAAATTGGGTGCATTTTGGAATTAAGAGAATCATAGAATAACTTTTTAATTTATACCTTTACCATCCACCATTAATTATATTAAAAAGTTAGGAAATGTTATTTATCATATTTTATTGATTCTAAAACAATTTTACATTATAAACATATTTAAAAATATGGATACACCTTAGAATCATTGGTATCATAAAAATATCTTTATATATTATGCCTTAGTAAGTCAGGTGCAATATTTGTTATAATGATATTTCATGAATCTGACTCCAATACCTTAGTAAAGCTAAGAAATACCTTTATTTTCACTGTTGAATAGCCATTTCTTGAATACTGACATTACCCTCATAGTGAATCAGTCAGTGCAAATGAATGCAGTCATGAATGGAAATAACACATTATGAAATGGAACTTTAAAAGTAGTAAAATGAATCATTTTAAATAGCACGAACATCTGTTGTGTTGAATTGGTGATGCTATTTGTATCAATATTTTATTACTTCCTTCCCCTGGATGAAGTTCATCAGAAATAAAAGGTTTAGTCATATGTAAAGTAAAAGACAATCTCCAACTAGCCTTTTTTTTTTTTTTTTTTTTCTGCCTGGGAAGTAAATTCATGAGGTGAATACTCCACTTGCCTTTTTAATACTCTTCAGTGTTCCTTCTCCAGCAAAGATTTCTGACCTGGCCACTGCTTATGTTTTTGTTCTGATCAGGGGAACTGTACAGTCAACAAGCCCCACAGTGAGCTAAACTGCTTCCACTTTTCTTTTCCTTACATTCAAAATGACAAACATATTCTCAGTCTCTCTGTCTGTGTAACTTTTGAAGAAAAGTTAATTAAAAACACCCCTATTAAATGTTTGGTTTCTTAGAAAATTAAAATTCCACCCAATCCAAGGTTTAATTTATTTAATTCCCTTTAATCAGTTCACCATTCTGAAAATCACAAACATTTCATGCCATTTTACTCCTCTAAAGATAAGGGGCCCACTAGTGGCCAAGCGGTAACATCGCTGAACGCTGGTAGTTCGGTCTGAGGTTCAAATACCGCGAACGGGCTCGCTGCGTGGGCGTTTATGTGGTTTTCCTCATGTGTAACGTGTATGAGCCAGTTTTCCTTAGAAAGTCCTCCACGATGGCATCCCTTCCCTTAGGCAGATAGCCTTAGTGTGCTTTGCCGCATTCTCAATACACCAAACACCTCTAAAGATAAACTTTTTCTGTCCAAAATTGGCCTCAGAGTATTCTTTCCCCCCTTTTACCAGCTGTGAAAACCTATTTAAAAGTTCTATTCAACTCAGATTGAACTGCATACGTGTCAGACTGAAGGATGCTGAATAATGACCTCCTAACGAGAGTCGTAAAACACAGTCTGGTGTATCCTTTAGAGCAGATATTTTCCTCTTTAAACTAACTTCTTGAACCTAATCCCAAATCTATTGCAATCTACTAGTGTAAATGTAATTTTTAATTGTAAAGTAAAAATAAGTACATTAGCTAGTATAGCCTATTTCAAATATCCTTGAATTTTGTTTTATTTTCTTGATGCACTGTAACAAAAATAGTGATCTAATTATTTTCAGTACATTTTTATATAGTTAAATAAAAGATTTATTTTCGTTCTGTGAAAAAATCTTTCTTTAGCTGGGGTTTGTAACGTCCTTAAGAGTCTTTAAAAGTCCTTAGATTTTTTTTAATCAATTTTTGGTCTTTACAATTTCTTAATTTTTGCCAAAATCAGCAGAAGGTCCTTAATTTTAATCATCTGAAATTTGTCTGTTTTTACGACTGCCATTTTGAGTGTGAATTAGCATTTTGGAGGAATATTTTTGGCGATTCACTGCCGTATATATGGTTATCTTTTGAATGGGTTCATGAGTTATAATTTGTTTCTATTTCTAATATAAATGATGGGATACTCGAGTTTCTAAGCAAGAAGTGAAACATAAGCATTTCAAAATTAATTTTTTCTATAAAGAGCTCTTAAACAACTTTTGGGGATGTGAATTCTTTTATTAAACGGTTCTAAATTTCGCGACTTATCAACATTTTGTTGATTTTAAGATTAGTTTCTATAGAAACTTTTTAATTCCGAGATCTGAGAATTTTTCGATGATTTTTTTTTAAAACATCATAACATTGATAAATTTCATTAAAATAATGGTAATACAGTACAAAGTCTGTAATCCAGACATCCATAATCCGGATCTGTAATCCGGACCTCAAAGCTACAAACTTTATGCGCATGCGCATAATGCGTTTATGCATGCATGTTTAATGTATAACAGATGATATAAGCTAGGCTAAAATTATCTAAGGCATTTCAGTTAATGTTGCAGATTGTGCTGTTCTTTAATCTTCTAATTGGATGTGGCTTATTATTTTTTTCCAGACTGTTAGAACAATTTTATAAAAATTAAGTTTGAACTTTCGATTATGTCAAAAAGAGTTTCCAATTCTGGAGCTGCCAAAGGATCTACAAAGGGAAAGCATGTTTTGATGTCCATTAAACAAAAAGTGGAATTACTGCAAAAAATGGATAAAGGCCTATCCGTCTCAAAATTATGCGAGAAGTATGGCATTGGAAAGTCCACTATATATGACACAAGGAAAAGGAACTTTTTGAATTTTTTGTGGAAGCATCTTAAACAACTTACATTGAAAAAAATGTTTAATAAAGTAAACAAACAAATATTAAGCTTTTTTTTTTTTTTTTTTTTTTTTTGATACCCTTTAGATCATAATTGTTCTTTATTTCATATTTTTAATTGTATCATTTCTGCATGCCATCTTACCAGATTTAAATTGATCTATAATCCGGAAAAACCCCTAATCCGGAATCGCCCAAGTCCGGATTATGGACTTTGTATTGTATATTGAAATAATATGTAAAAAATAACATTAAAATAAAACATTTTTATTTTTCACGCTCATATTTCAAAGTTTAAGTTTGGCAACTTATTATACAATATTTTGAATCTGAAAAATAAACAAGGTATTATGCTGTAAAGCATAATTTATGAAACAGCTCTTAGCAAAAGCAAAGTTAGCTATGTAATTAACTAAAAAATCTTGTTTTTAATTTTTCATAGTAAGAGTTATACCCATGTAATTGTTTTGGAATATTCAAAATTCTCAGAATATGTATCAGTTTTCTCTATAAAATTAATTTAATACTTTTTCCCAAAATATTTCTGGCTTTTTGCTGTTACAGCAATGGTAGGGATATTTATTTTTATTTTAAATTTTTTTTTTTATGATTTTATACATTGTAGCTGGGGAAGTTTAGAAGGATTTGAAGGCAAGATTTATAGACCCATGATTCTAGAAGATTTGAGAAATATGTGACAAAATGAAAAATGTCTCCATGGTATCAACACATAATGTATGCATTTTACAGAAAGTTTGTAATGAATTTCTTACTTTTTGGAGAACGACTGGAAGAACAATGAAAAGATAATACTTGAATGTTTCTGATATTAGAATCTTTATCTTAACATGTTTATCTTCCCTTCATTTTCTCTACTTTTTGCTAGACACAGGCATGGAAAATATCAAAAATGCTTCTAATCTTATCACATGGGCAGGCATTATAGAAAGGAATTTTTTTATTAATAAAGAAATAGAAAACTTAAAATTTAAAAGATTCATCTAATATTTCTTAATGCATCATACACATAGCTGGCAATAGGCATTTTCCCACTTGATGCAGTCTCTGTGGATCCTAAATTCTGCTGCATAGTGCCTTTCTAAATTCTGCTTCCAATGCCTGCTCTAAATTCTAAAAGTTTTGCCATTTTTAGATTTTGTTGTTTGGTGTGTCACTAAATTTTAGAAATTCAGCCACATCAGCTCTGTAACCGGCCTTTACTATATATTTTTCATATTTCTTCTGAATGTTCGAAATATTACTAAAGAAATAAAATTAGCTGCTTTTTCTGTACATTTTAAATGCATTTAGTGTTTTTTAGAATAACAGAAATCCTTAATTAAATCCAAAAATTCTAAAATGAAAAGGAAAAGTGTTGAAGGAAGAAAATTATTCCTCAAAGATATGTGCAGTTATTATTATGCAAATTACCCAATTGTTTATGATTTCAGCCTTTACTATAATTTCCCATTTCTATTTCCTCATATGATAGAGTTATTGAGCCAGATTAAATTAAACTGTATAACCTTTGACCACTAATCCACATTATTAGTTTGAGTTTGGCTGTTCTTGTTTAATTATGTCACCGTGAGCTGCAACTGATTTTGTTAGCATCAGAACATGGCTTTATGTTCTATGTTATTTTTAAATAAGAGGTTTATTTAAACCTTTGTCTGATATTGTAGTTAATTTCAGACATAGCGATAATATGCTTCATGTCTATCGGGGGTTTTGGACTATTTAACTTTTACCTGACCCATTAAACCCTCAAATGATATTGTGGAGAGGTTGACATGTTAGTAGATAAAGCAGGCAGAAGCTAGCGAGAGCATTGGTTTGCATATTGAGACAAATCTCTAATTGTTAGAAAAGATGCTTAAAGAGAAGGAATTTTTTTAAAAAGTATTTTAGTTTCTGCCTTATGTATGAAGTAATTACTGTTACATTTAAGGTTTTAGTTACCTTAAATGTAACAATAATTACTTCAATTAGTCATTCATATTTTAATGAACAGCCACTATCTAAAGGTTTATTTTATAAGGTAACAATGAGTTAAAGTAACTGCATTTTATATAATACTTCTTTTTCTGCGTTAAAAATTAAATTCCACGATTAGCAAATTTGCTAATGCTCATGCAAAGGTTTTTTAAATTAACGAAAAATTATCAAGATTAAACCTGTCGAAAAGTGGTCATGCATGTTAAGAAAAACAAACATGAAGCCATTAAAATGCATAGAAATATTACATGAAATCAGATACATACTAGCGAGCTTCTTTTCTGTATAAATAACAGTTTTCTTAAATTTTTTAAACAAATGGTTTACTCGTCACCACTCGTTTAACATTCAGAACTCGCTAAATTTTTTAATTCGATGAAACAGCAACTTTATACTAAAACCAGTATCGCCTTTTTCTAGTTTCGTGTCAACCGAAATAGAATCAGATCATAGTAGTCATATCTTATGAATTATACCAAAGGCTCGTTGTCAAAAGAAGGATAATGCACACAATGCCAAGCGAAAATTAGGTTTGTATGAATGATGAATGAAACGAAAAATAAATGCAAATGTCTTCTTTCTGCCTGACCATAATTCATATTTTGAGAACCCACCAAAACTGTAGGATTAAAGATTTAACAAGGCTATACTTTTAACTTCCAAAATATTACTCATATGCCTATTTAAACCTAACATTTCCACTTAATTTAAATTCCTTAATGCTATTGTTTTCAACTCTGTATACAAGATCCTCATCATGTAACATTTTCTATGCATTCGCATTATGACAGTTTTTTACTGGCTGAATCCCTACCAATTTATTTATAGGAGAACTTATTATTTTAGTTAGCCCTACCAAAAAGTTCTGCGAGTAGTGCTATGCAGTATCGTAGTTCTTATTTCTGAATGCAAATCCTAAATTGCAAATTTTAATTTAAAATTTTTAATCTATTAGTATGTAAAGTATATCATTTCAGAAACACCAAATTAATGTTAATAAATAATTTAGAGCACTATTATGTATAACCTGATAGATATTGAAATGTTACTTAGTATATAAGGTTGGGCGGGTAATTTGTAGTTTAAAATGTCAGGTAGTTTATGTTAAAGGTAAGATATACTGCTGTCCCTTTTCTTTTCTTAAGATGCTTGAGAGTGGAAGTAAGATGAAATGATATTGTGGAAGTAAATTGAAAATAGATATAATTTTTTAAACTGAAATATTATAAATTTATTTACAAGCAGTCATGTAATTTTAGATATATGATTATCATATTTGTCAATCTTTCTTTCATTGACCCGCCTTTTTTTTTCTGAAGTTATCCAGCCAAGCTGTTTTGATGTATTCCATCACAGGAGCTCAGAGTAATTTTCTGAATCGAAAAGCTTTTAAATGTCTGACAAATTTATGGAAAAAGGTAATTATCTGTTCTTAAATAATAAATGTAAATTGAATATTGTTCTGAAAATACAAAAATACAAGTAGCGTACTTTAATTGTTGACTAAATATATATTTTAAAGTTACAGGTAATTTTTAGCAATAATTTGACATCAAAATATTATTCCATCTAATGACAAATTCCAGAATTATATTTAAGAAATAAATTTAAAATGTATGTAAGAAAATTTCAAATACATTTGTGAAACATTTATAATTATGTGAAACACTGTAGCATTTATAAATTGGTGCAGTGGTATTTGTACGTTATCAGAGGTGGTGTGTGTATCAGTTTAAGCAGAAGATGCCTAATTTTCAACCATAATCCGGCTAAGCTGTTTTAAAACATAATTGTTCTTTCTCTTATTTCTGAAATAGCTAATAATTTTTATATAGCGTGCCTTAATATTTCATTGTTTGCATAGACTTGATGTCTTATATTGCCTGCACTTTTTCTAAATTACCTGCCGAAAGGGAAAAAAAAAAGGTAATTGGGATTAACCCATTCAAGACCAAAGTTGCATAGGCGCAACGCAACATTTCCACACTTACCAGCCCGGTGGCACATATATGCAGAGCTGCAATCAATCTTTTCAGCCCAGCACCATGCATGCATAACTTGAAAACAGAACGATTTTTTAAAATTTTTAAATGAAGACTACTTTGAACACACCTAAAATTTTGTAAGTATAACTTTTAAAACCTATGTGTATGTCAAAACTTTCAGAGTGACTCTCGTGTGCTAAAAATATTTTCATGTATCATATAAATTATGGCAACTCATTGCTTATCAATGTAATAAAATAGGCTATTTAAAACAGTTTACTTTTTAATGATATTGTGATGTTTGGGGCAATCATTTTTATTAACATTCATACCATTAATAAATTGAATAAAATTTGTGTAATGCTCTATGTTTTTAGCAAAAGTTATTGATTAATAAACTTCTGTGTCAGTGTATAGCTTAGAATCAACTGTATACTTCTTTTCTGTAATATTACTGTAGTGGTAGATTGTTTTTGTTTGATGTTGAACTTTAAAAGCAAATTAATTGGAACATAAACATAAGGTTTTTTTATTAATAATTGAGTATTATTCAAAATATATTTATGGGTGTCTGGTGATTTTGGGGGTTATATGTATACTTTTATTTTGGCATTTTCTTGCGGCGATTTTTGCTGCACAAACTTGGTATCCATGTACAACATCGACCTGTTTTCACTTAGAAAAATCAGAAAATTGCACTGTGCGCTCCCGTGACTTTGTCCATGTACACATCCATCTATTTTCGCTGAACAATTCAAAGAAGCATCCAATTCTACACTAGAGCTAAACAAAAAAATATATAATCTCAATAAACTACATTTTAAATCAAACCATGAAATAACAAAAAAGGAAATTCATTTTAGCATTACACAAAAGAAATATCCATTTACCTTATTAAGAAATTTATGTGTCTTCAGTCAAACAAAATTCCTTAATAGCATCCAAAAACTTCCTAAAATTATCTGAACTAGAATCTGTATACTACATAAATTAACAAAAATAAGAGTAAGACTTATCCTCCGACATTTGACCATACACATTTCCTTTGTACAAACAGGACACTTATAATGGCTACTAAGTAAACCTTTCATTTACACAGCAGTCAGTTGATGCTTTTTATCCCCTTTTGTTCCAAATCATACTGAAACTTCAAATTAATCTTACCACATTTAGCCATTTTACTGTGTAAACCACAAAATAACCACCATACTTCCTAACACATAAACAAGCCCTTAATCATTTCCCATCATTCAAATTCACTGCAATCACGCAACCAACTACTTCATAATAGGATTTCCATGACATTCAACTACTCAAGTTACCATAAATTAAACAACTTGGTGATAAATAAAACAACAACTTAGTGATAATTGAAGGGGCACCCTTAAATATACTATAACCAAATAGAGATAATGCTAATTAATAAAAAAAAAGCTGGTTTAAAAATTTATTTTCACACAGCTAGCTTGGCTGTAAAAGTAAAACTTGTGTAATTTGTATAATAAACTATTTAAATATGTTGCATATATTAGCCTTATTTGTATGTGTGTTCTGTACAGTAATATACAGGGGTTGGACAAAAATATGGAAACACCTATAAAAACATGTTTCTTTGCTTAATATGGTGTAGGAAACCAGTTGGCATCCAAAACAGCTTGAAGTCTTCTCGGAATGGATAAATACAGTTCATGTATGTTTGCCAAGGGAATATTATACCATTCTTCCTGCAAAACGGTGGCAAGTTCAGATAATGATGTTGGCGGTGGATAACGAGAACGCACTTTCCGTTCCAATGTAGACCACAAAGGTTCGATAATATTCAGGTCTGGTGACTGTTGTGGCCAGGGGAGATGGGACAACTCATCCTCGTGCTCAGAAAACCAATCCTGGACAATGTGAGCTGTGTGAACTGGGGCTTTGTCGTCTTGGAAGACACCACCACCATCGGGGAACAAAGTTTGTGCCATGGGATGAACTTGATCGGCCAAAATGTTCACATAAGTCTTGGCAGTCATGTGCCCTGACACAGTTATCATGGGGCTAGCAGAGAACCACGATATGGCTGCCCAAACCATAACAGAACCGCCGCCATGTTTCACTCTTGGCAACAAGCAGTCTGTATTATAGGCTTGAGATGGCGTTCTCCAGACGTAAACTCGGCCAGAAGTGGGAAACAATGTGAAAGAAGACTCGTCAGACCATATTACTCGCTTCCACTGCTCTATAGTCCAGGCTTTATGACTTAAAAACCACCTTTTCCTGTTACGGGCATTAGCATCACTGATGAGTGGCTTCTCAATTGCAGCACGGCCAGGAATTCCCTGTTTATGAAGCTCCCTTCTAATTGTTTTGGTACTCACAGGGTTCGGTAACACAACATTCATTTCAGCAGAAACTTTTGCAGCTGTGGTCTTCTTATTTTTCGTCACAATTGCCCTTAATGATCGTCTGTCACGATCACTCAGGACACACTTTCGTCCACGCTGTGATTTAGCAGATGATGTTTTTCCGCTTTTCAAATATGCGGAATAAATCTTTGATACAGTACCTCTTGAAACACTAAACACCTCAGCTACCTTGCTTACGGAAGCACCTACCATACGTGCTCCAACAATTTGCCCACGTTCGAAGTCTGTTAACTCTGACATAATGCAATGACAACCTCACATAACAGTACTCCGACAAACAACTGAACTGTTTAGCACATTTACGAAGTTGTATAGGTGGTGTCAGTAGTCAAAACTGCTAGTGCCACCTACATATTTCATTAAAATCAATCTCTCTTTTCAAACATGCATTTCACAAGGTGTTTCCATATTTTTGTCCATCCACTGTATTTTTAAAATCTTATGAGCAAAATGTTAAAATGTGTAAGGGTATTTGTATTTTGTTTACATATGTAACATTTAACTGATTTTTCCTTTTCTTTTAGAATTCAAAAACTGTGGAAGAGTATATTGCATGTTTAAAGAATTTACCAGAAAATTTATCATCTGTAGTCTTTGTTGGATTTTTTGGAAAATATTTGGTAGAAGCAAAGTTGAAACAGAGTTTACTTAATATGAAGGTTAGATTTCTGTTTTCTAGCCTTTTTTTTTTTTTTTTTTTCAAGTCTCTCTGTTTATAAGAAGTTGAACATGCATATGAAAGTATACTTGAACTGTAAATAGGACTTGTGATTTTTTGCCAAACTAGTTAAAATCACCTGTTAAATTAGTTAAAATTGGCATGACAGAATCTCTGAAAACTGATTGAAATGCAATAAGTATTTTAGTACTTACAGCTCTGCAGTCAGTTTTCATTTGTATTATTATATTATGTGGTGGATAATTTTAAAGCAAAACAATCATTGCAAACTACATTGTTTTTATGTAGCAAACTACATAGTTTTTAATATTTATTTAGAAGACATAACAGAGATGAAAGTTACGCATTCAAATTCAACCTGATCTTTTCTGGGATGTAGTATACAACAGCTTTCAAAATCCTAGGACTTTCTTGATTATTTAGAATAAATAAAAAGTTGGAGAATATTCTTTCAAGCTCAACATAGGCAGGGAAAACAAAAATTTTTTGAAAGAATTCAGGGAAAATCGGAACTTTTTCTCCAAAAAGTCAGGAAATTACAGATTAGTCCTCCCAAATAATACAAATTTTGTGATTACCAATTACAATAATACCCCTCTTAAAACAAAAGCAAATAAACTATTAGTTATATTACTAGTTATCTTGGTTTTCCTGAATAAAAATAACTGTTACTTTAATCAGTATGCAATAATAAAAAAAAGAAAATTGTCCTACCAAATAAGCCAGTAAAAGCTAGACTATCTGACATTCAACTATTTGGTAAGCTCAAATAACCAGAATATTTTAAAATTTTAGGGGTTCCCCCCCCTTCAAAAAATTACGCAGAGATTTGTGATGCCATTATAGAGCTTATTATACTATTAACACATATATAATGCTTCCAAACAGTGTGATTCAGCACTTGTAATGGATCAGCCTGAAATCACTACACAATCATAAGAACCTCACCTTAGTTTTATGTAAAACTGCTTCTTGTTAGCTTTTGTAAAGAAGGATATAAGTTCTGCTTTTTATGGCATTATATATATAAAAAAAATATTTATATTTGTGATACAGGGCAGCATGCGGTAGAGTATTTCAAAATTATAAGATACTTAATAAAGGCACAGTATTGTGACTTTATTTGAAATTATTTGGAAATGTATAAATGGTGGTGATTTAAAGTGAAAAATTAAATTCTTTTTATGTACTGTATCTGTAATTTACATTATTTTGTTTAAATAAATTTATTAAATTATTTAACTAAATAAAAATGATTATTATTTAACTAAATAAAATTATTTTAAATTCATTTTATTATTATTTAACTAAATAAAAAATTATTCATCCCTTCTGTCGGAATGATTGGCTCAAGTTTGGCAATATCTCCACAAACTTTCCTATTTGACAGGATTTTGTAATCGGATAAGTTTTTTTTAATTTCATGCTTTGCATTATGCAATGTCGACTTTTAAGTTTAAAATGCATTTTTGTTTTTGAAATTTTATATAATTTTAAGTGTAAGCTTTTTTATATTCAAGTTAGTAACAAATAAGATAACTGTTTTATGATTTTAGACTAGAAATTTCTTCCATTCACATGGTTTTTTTAACATGAATTACATTTTTTATACACCCAACTATCCAGATTTTCACATATCCAGCACTCAGCATTTCCCAAGCTTTCTGGATAATCGAAATTTTATTGTACTTATTAAAGTTAATGTAATTTAAATTAAAATCAAGTGTTTTATCCATTTTATATCTGATACAATTTTATTAATCCATAGCTCTAGTGTTCATTTGTTAGAGAGCTATTATTCACCTTTCTTTCTTGAAATACAATTATTCTACCAATTCTCTCTTTGGAAGTGTAATAACCATTCAAAAATAAATTATGTGATTTGACAGTAGGAATTTGTAACATACACTCATGTCCATAAATTAAGGATAATGCAAAATCAGGCAAAGGAAGAGTTCGAAGCAAAACAAATTTGACTTATTTGTAAAGCTTATTTATTAAACAAAAGGTAAAGAGCAAAAAACAGATGCTATATGTTTGATATTATTAAAAAAATTAGCGATTTTTTTTTCTCCCTGGAGCAAATTAACAAAAAAAAACAAAAAAAAACTATTTACAAAAAACCAATATTACATGGTTGGTTTGATTGTTAATACATTGTATGTCTCCCAGACGATGCAATACAGTCCGTACAACGCCTAGGCATCTGAGTATCAAATTATCGATCTGATCTTGGGGGATATTACATCACTCAAAAAGCAATGCACTCCGAAGTTCCGGTAGACATGTAGAAGGAGGTTGACGGGCTGCAACTCGTCGGCCAAGCATGTCCCACACGTGTTCTACTGGTTCAAGTCTGGTGAGAATGCTGGCCAGTCTGTACGGGTGATATCCTCCGATTGAAGGCATTCGCTTACGATATTTGCACGGTGAGGACTGGCGTTGTCATCCATAAACAAATTGTGTGCCCATGGCACCCCGAAACAAATGTACATGTTGTTCCAGAATGACGTCCCGATAGATATGGCTTGTCATGATTCCAATTTGAACATGAAGGTCAGTTCTGGAACCCAGAATAAATCCACCCCAAACGAGCACTCCTACACCACCGTAACGGTGTCGTTCAATGATGCTTTCTTGGTGGTAACGAATACCTGGAGCTCTCCATATGAAAGTCCGGCGAGAATCAGACTGCAAGCTAAACCTGGACTCGTCGGAAAACATCACACAAGCCCACTGTTGCGGTGTCCACAGTGCATGCTCTCTACTCCAGGCTAACCGCAGGCGACAGTGAGTTGCAGTAAGTGGACGATCGCACAGGCTGGGGCGTTCAGCATATTTTTTCATATTTTATTATTATTAGAAAAATATAAGTAAAAAATAGTAATATGACGTTTTTATTTATTAAAAGCGATTGTTTGATGCATATTGAAATAATATATGTGTTTTAGTGTGAAAAGGTTCTGATTTTGTTTGTGTCCCAGATTAGTAAGCCCCTCGCCAACATAAGCCCCAGGACATGAGGGAGGGTTTTTTTAATTTATTTATTTCACAAACAGCAAAAAAGGCAAAAATACCAATGGTAAATAAACATGTGGTTCAAAGTAGTTGTATATATGCAGACAAATAATTACAGATAATAAAATTACATATAATAAGATTAGAGATAAAATAAGATTACATCACAGAACGGTTATATACTAATCCATGCAAAATTATGCGTGGGGGGTCATCTCCACGTACAAATGTTATAACGTTGATCAATGATTTTTGAACACGCCTGAGACCATCATGAATTGCATAATTTTGGGGTGAAATACCCAAATGATGATGACACCAATTTTATTTGAATGATGATGCAAATTTTCTAAAAAGAATAAAATACGAAAGTATGACGTCAGGCAAAAGCAAAAGTGGCGTCGAACCGTTGCCATCGAACTGACCTGTACCGCATCTGACAGTCTACGAGCATAGACCATCTACCCTAAGCATCTGTACACGGTCTGCCTTGAAATTGTCGTACCGTGGAGAAGAGCTGACGAGACAGGTCTGGGCTGTGCTCTGCCTGTTTCTTTGGCAGTACTGCAAATACCGTTCTCATTCGGGTGTAACTCGGGCGACTGTGCTATAACTTCACTCACAACCATCTTGGGAATCGTGCAAGCCTGGAGATGCACTCTGGGCAATTCCAAGGTTCGTCTGATATTCCAGTGGGGACGCCCACTTCCAGAAGGCCGATAATCCTACCACAAAAAATCATCCAAATGCGTCCTTTGTGTATGAAATGCTTATAAGCACCTGCGAACTTTTATTTCTGTATTCCCATTATCACTCTTACTTCGTCATTGTGACGTACCATTGGGCCTCTGGTTACTCCTAAATTGCATATGATTCTTGAAGATGTGTGTAGTGATTTTACAAGTGATATATTTATTTTAGTGTTCGATTTCCACGTGACTTCGAATTATCCTTAATTTATGGACATGAGCATATTTTAAATTGCCACCCTGTGAACAATTTTATTACCTTTACTTTTATTCAAATAAAAATAGAATATCATAGATCCTTCTTTATTAACAAAATTTGGCAATTTTAAGAAAGCTGAATCTAATTTGAAAATAATTTAGTATCCAGTTTCAAAAGGTACTGATAATGCACTGATTGAGCTGCAACTTAAGATTTTAGGTCTGCAGTGTGATACAAGTTTAACAAAATTCCACAGTCATGAAGAAATCTGCAAATTAAACTTGGATATTGATTATGTTTGGTTAGAGATTTAAATATATAGATATAAATTATACTTCTATCAAACCACATATTTAAATAAACATTTCTTTTCATGAATCTCGATTAAAATGTTGTGTGATTGAGCTTTGCTAATGATTATTAGTTTGCAGTTTTAAGAATCTCCATTACAAAGTTCATGAAAAAAAAAAAAAAGAAAATATCTGTGGGCATTCAGCCAAAAAATTTGCTTAGGTCCAATTTAGATTCATATTTTCTAGATATACTTTCTTTTTCTTTATTTAAATGTATGTAATGTATTATGCTAATGTTCTTCATGTATGCATGTGTAAGATGAGTTAGATTTTTATGTTTTTTTGTTTATTCATTATATTTTATTATAATGTTACGTATTTCATTATATTTTGCAGTAAATCATAAAATTATTCAGTTACTCATACTTACTGTATTTCCCTTCCCTTTTTTTATATATTAATTTTATCTTCTAAAAACTGTGCGGGGGGGGTGGAATCGTGCAAATAATTTAATTTTCAAAGGATGCATTTACAGTAAGAACTTAAAAAATGAAAAGTAGTTATAGGTAAACTACATGTAACTATCACAATATTATGTCTTTAAAAGAAACCTTCAATTCCTATAAGATTACACAGTAATAATAAGATATTTTCATTTATTATCTAATAAGATATCTAGTAAGATTAATAAGAATATCTAATAAGATATTTTTATTTTTAC